TGCGTTCCAGTAGAAAATGTTTAAGTTTGATGGTGTCGGGTTCTTGGGGTTAAAGTAGGTTTACGTTTAGGTTGCCCATAAATATAATATCCTTCTTCTTTTTTGAGTATGTTGAGAGAAGTGCGTCAATGTATTTTAAGCAGTTGTCGAGGTTTGTTGATGGCGATCTATATGCTCCGATGATGATAAGTTTTTGATCTTGGGTGCTGAGGGTTACTATTTCAGAAACTAGTTCTTCGCAAAAGGCATCTGTATTGATCTTGGAGTAATTGTTTTGATTTTCCTCTTTAACGAAAGCAGCTATCCCTCCCCATCTGTGTTGTTTTCTGGAGTAGTTGCTAAGTAACATGTATCCCTGTATGTGGATGGTTTCCATACATTCAGCTAGGTGGCCATGTCCAGAAATTATTAGCACATCAGGATTTATTGAGTGAAGTTCTATGTCTAGCTGGTTTATTTTTTTCTGTAGGCCTCTTTGGATATTTATATAGACCTATAGTACTGTTAGTTCTTTTTTGTGGTGAATTTTGTTGGGTTTTGTGGCAGATTGGTTGCATTTGATTTGGCTTGGCTGGTCCTGTTCCAGGTCTAAGTAGTTTTTTTTTCCTAGGACGCTAGGCACGAGCCTGGGATTGTTTTTCACATTACTTCAGGCTAGACCTAGGGGTTGCGGCATTATCACGTGGATAAAATCCATTGGTGACTTGGCGGGGATCGAACCCGGGACCTCAGGGTCTGAAGTCCCGCGCTCTAACCACTACGCCAGCTCGCTCCCCAGGTCTAAGTAGTAGCGATGGTGATGATTTTTTGCGAGTTTTTTGACAGGGTAATTTCAGGGTAGGTTGCTGAAGTCTCGTGGCCGTCTTCATGTTTATCCTCTGTAGGCCCACTTTGGACAAAGTAAGTTTGTGTTTGCTTTGTGATTCAGTGGCCATAGTATGTGTTATTTGGGGCACATTTATATTTTCGCAGTTGTTGGTTGTATTAGGGAGCAGTGGTTATGAATTGGTTTGTCTTTGGGAATAGGCCCATTTTGTGTGTGTGTCAACTCGAGGTGTTGCTGTATTATTTCCACTATAGGCCTAGGGCAGGTCAGTTTGGAGTTCTTTATGATGGTGTGTGCAAGGGTTGTAGCTCCTTTTTTGTTGGGGTGGATCCCGTCCGGTCTGTAGTTGTCGTTTTCTCAGGCTGAGCTTGTGTCTATATAAATTATTCTTAATTGTTCACACATAAACCTATATGCAGCGTTTGTGTCATTTATGTATCTGTCTCCAACATCTCTTCTGTAGAGAAGGCCGTTAACGAACCACTGAGTGTTTGGGAATTTTTTCTGGGCTGCCTCAATAGTTAGCCAGAGGGGTCTCATTCTATGGTTTGGGGTTTCTCCGCTAGCTACGTTGTTGGAGCCTATGTTTATTATTACTTTCCCAGGGATTTGTTTGGCCTCACTTATAAATTTGCTTACGTCCCTTATCTGTGCTCCTGGCATGATTTCTGTTGTGATATTTAGTTTGTAGTTGTTTTTGATGATGCTGGCTGCAGCTCTGAGGGTCGAGTCGCCTATAAGTAGTGCTTCATGCTGTGTTTTCATCGGGTCGCTGGTCAGTCCAGGTCTATTTTCTTGGTGGTTAGTATTGTTTCGGGTTTCTGTATCGCAGCTAATGTTTTTAGTATGTTCATGTGCATCGTTAGGTTGGGTGGAACAGATTTCCTTCATTAGGTCTATAGTGTTTGGAGGGTGAGAGTTTAAATCGGGTTGTTTTAAATGGTCGTAAGTGCTCAGGTGGCTGGCTGTGCTGTTGATCAGTTCTCGGACAGTCTCTTCCATCTTCATTATAACTTCCATCTTGATGGCCACTATATCGGAGAGTTTGTCATTTTCCATTTTTTTTATCCGTAATTGTTTTTGTAGTGTTCTAATATCCTCCATGAGGAGTTCTACAATTTTTTCCATTTGGTCAGGTTTTGTTTCATTAGGCGTGTCTTCTTGTGGGCTTGAGGCGTTGGGAGTTAGGTCACTTTTTCCTGGGGTTGGGCCTAGCCCAGAGTTGCAAGGTCCATTGTCATTTCTCACCGCAGGTCTAAGTTTGTTGTTCAGTCCTTGCACATCCAGTTAAATAGAAGTTTGTCATTTATCATGCCTTTGTACTGCTTGTCTGTTACATTTACACATTTAATGTGGTACCACACTGAGCAGTCACATTCAATGGCTTTGTCATCATTTCTTATATCTAGTTTACATATAGCACATAGTGGTGTAGAGTCATTACTCCCAGTCATCTTATTCTAGGTTTGGTTGGGTAAGAGATCTTTGGTAAGGTGGTTGGTCTTTGGTAGTGTTGGGGGTTGGCAGGTGTTTCTAGGTTTGGGTTAGGGCTGGAGGTTTGATGTTGCAGGATAGAAACTATCGATTGGATTAGTAAACCTTCATGCAATTTTTTCACAATCAGCAAGTTTGGTTGGTTAGGTTAAGTTATGATAGATAATTTTATAATATATATATTTTAAAATATTGATTATTAATCAATATTTTCAATTGTATAGTTTCAATCAATATTAGCATAGCCCAATTAAGAAACTGTACCCAAATTAGGCCCTACCTTTTATAGTTCTAGCCTTTGATTGGTAAAGTAGGCTAACATCAGGCCTAGAATTAAGTTTTTTTACAATTCCTATATTGAATCTTCTAATACTTTTCATTGAAATGGCGACCATACAAAGTAGGTACAGTAGTCGCAGTTAGTCTGGGCGCGCGGACCCTTGTGTACTAGCCGTGCTGAGAGTAACGGCTCGCTCACCATCACAGCCTCGCTGAACAACCCCAGAAAGCCGTATGGGTCAGATGTTTTGGGAAATGAGCAATAAACATTCCCCTCTACCGGGGCTATAGAATACAGGGGCTGGCTTACGTGGACTAGCAAAGTGGTCCCACTGCCGTGTGGCTGTGACGTCACCGCGCTGACTCCACGGGTTTAGCTAGCGCGCGACACATATACAAATCGCTCATTTAAATGCTTCCCTAAATGTACACAATTAAATTGTCCTTATAAAACTTATATCGTTGTAATCTGCATTCACTACAGAATCTGATGGACCAAAAATATTTTAGTTATGATCAATAATATGTATTTTAAAAGGGGAAAATTATAACGATTACAAACCTGTGAACTACAAAAAGTCACTAAGCGGGGATTTTTTTTATTTTTGGGATAGGAACAAACTTTGAGCGAGAAAAATATTCATTAATAGTTCTATTTCAATAATTAGCCTGAAAATTTTCGATAAAACCAACGGGTCGTTTATTGCTTATCAGGAAGTAAGGCTTTATAAACTTGGCGATCACATTACATCGTTCCGCACATGTCCGCATCGTGCTGTTTATAACATGATAGTAAAAAAATGTTATGATCCTAAAACAATTGCACTGCTTCTATTAGTGAAACAAGTAATTAGTGCTAAAACTGAATTTTAAGAATTGTGTAGACTTAAGGCTTAGAATGTTATTTTATCTTGTTTGATATTCCGGTACCCCTTGTCATATAATTCTAATACACTTGGTTGGGCATCTTTTAGGAATGTGTAATGGTTTAGGTAATTTTATATTGTCTGTTAAACAAACTGTTTATCCGTAGAAAATAAGTAAAAGAGCGTCATCTTCTGATCATTTTTCTTCTATCTTCTTCAGAAACAAACGGAAGACGCGAATAACAATGAAAGAGCGAATTTGTTTTTACGCGTATTTGATGCAGTGTTGCCATAACAACAACCTAAAATTTGCGAGGCGAACGGCAAAATTACCCGCCAGCGCTCAGTTGTAACAATTGTCTTTTGAGACGATTTATTAATGAACTGTTAGGGGTATTTAAGAATTGTTAAGTAATTACTAAGGAAGAACTGATTGACTACAACTCTCGCTGAAAGTTTGTGCCTAACCCGAAAATTAAAATGTTCCTCGCTTAGTGACTTTTGCAAGTTTCATTATTGTAGTTTCTCTACGTTTGTTGGTATAAAACCAATTTACTTGTGGTAAACTAAAAACTGTTTGGATATTTGGATTCTACAGTTAATGCAGAATAAAACGATATAAGTATCATATGAGAAATATGTTCGTACAACGGTAGGGGAGCGTGTAAAAGAGTGAGATTTTCGCTGGCCGCGTAATGGAAACAGGCCCGACTGTCAGCCCGGTGACGTCACAGGAGGTGGGGGAGCGGGGCCGTGTCGGCAAGTGCTACATCAAAGACGTGAGCTAGCCCCTGTATTCTATAGCCCCGCCCCTCTACACCCTCCGCCCTAGCGCGGGCACGCGCCTAGACTAGCTGCAACTACTGTAAGGTAAGTTACTTATTTTACTTAAGCCATATATGAAAGGAGATGAGTGTAGGATGAGTGGTTCGATTTTTTAGTCTTGTTAGTGACTAATGCCGATATATTCCTTTGACGCAGCTGTTAATTAATGTGTATTTCTAATGGGATGGTGGCCTCGCCCTGGAATCTAGCTAGGGAGGTTTTCAAATTGTGGATTGGTCTATTTAAAGGCATGCACTGTGGGTGCAATATTTCCTGGCATGGAGTAATGTCCGCACAAGTGAGTACTACGACTATCCGCAGTACTAGGCCTATCCTGTTAATTAGACTAACATCAGGCCTGGGCTTAAGCTTTTTACGATTTCTATATTGAATCGTCTAATGTGTACTTCTATACTGGAATTATGGCGTCTTGTAATCCAGCTAGAGAGGTCTCAATTGTGGATAGGGCTCTTTAAAGGTGTTCACTGTTACAGTTACTAGATTAGGAATGTAATGTGACGTCATTTGGAACAGACATGCGTGGTAGCGGCGCGAGTCTGACGTGCGAATAGCCACTGCCTTGTTTATGAAGAAGAACAGAACTAGCACCACTCACCTGGCTCTCACTAAGTAACACACTAACACAGCATAGATAAATTTACTTTAACATTACTAGTAATGTGTGAATATAATTTTCCGCATTTTTGTAGGTCCTTAATCTTATATACAGATAAATGGCGAGATATCATTCACTGCTTCATTGGAGAAAACAAATGCCATCATCAGGTAGTATTACTAAAACTATGAAGTTTGGAAACTTCCAAAAAAGGTACCATTATTTGATATTGGACTTCGAAAGTACTTGTGAATACATGGTTTCATTGAAAAATCAGGTATGGGTTCCATATAATATAATGGCAATAACATATCAGAATATTTAGTTATAATTTGCTGTAGGCCTAGTGAATGTGTTAAGCGTGAGTTATGCAAAATGTTTGCAGCACTGGACTGAAGGAACAGTTTAAATTCATTATTTTCTCCTATAGGCTCATAGGATAATATCAAATTAATTAATGCTTTCACTTAATAGGTCATGTGTGGTGAAGGCTAGGGCCTTCATAAAACAAATAAGTTAAGTTATGTTTAGTTAACTTACTGTAGCCTACATAAGTCATTGTAAACTTACCTGTGAGTGACTTATGTTGCAACCAGTGAATAACTAAACTTTGTAGTTTATTACTAACTTATAGTTACAGAATAAGTATATGCTTAACACGTTCGCTGCTACGGACGTTCCGGAACGTCAAACGGGCCACGGCGCCGTTCATTGATGTTTAACGCTACCATGGAGCAGCCAGCTTGTCACGAGCGTCCTATATTTCTTTGCAGCTCGTGGGGACGTACTTTTCTGACGATAAAAAATATAGGTAGTTTCCCAAAATCACCACCAGGGTTGTTTAGAACAGGGCTTTGTCCCACCTCTTTCCTGCTAGATAGCGACACTACTTTACCGACTGCAACCTGGGTAGTGCTGCTATCTATCAGAATCACTTAGTACTATGTCCAAAGCCAGTTTTATTGCAGAAAATTGCCATCCAGTACAACTACTGTTGTTTTTACTGTAATTCAGTGTATCGGCAGCAATGTTTACGCAGCGGCGAGCGTTAGTTCAGCTCCTGGAGCCCTCCCGGCATCTAGCGGTCAGCAGCGAACGTGTTAAAGTGATCTTGCTTTAAAAACTGTTACTTATTGGTCAGTGGTTTGTATTGTCAAAACACCTGGCATCCATAATTTCATAAAAAAGTGTAGGCCTATTCCCGTTTGAAGACTGAATGACACACTAGTGTTTGCAGGTAACATTTGACCAATTATTTAAGTGCCTGTGGGTTGTCAGCACGGCTACCATGCCGTGAAATGCTGTGGCTTGCTAGGGCTAAAGGTGCATTGTCCCTGAAGCGACTCTTGCGATAGTAGCTGAGCGATAGTAGCTAACCATGTCATTGTCCCTGAAGCGATTGTTCTAGAGCGATTCTGTATATTAGTTTGCTGACTTTCGAGTTAATTGGTGCTATGAGTGCCATGACACCTCCTAATTTTAAAACGTTTTTACTAGCTCGCTTTTTTGTCCGGTACAAACTTTGCAATAAATTTTAAACTAACTTCCCGACGAGCTAGAGAAATGAAACTAGAGAACACAGCTCACAAATGGATGACAATGTAATACTATAACATTTAATTTTCATATTTTCCTTGGGCTAAGCCCCATGGGCTTCCAAATTTTCCATGTTTACATTTTGAAGTCAGCCGTAAATACTTAAATTCGACAGTTCGAAAAGCTTGGGTAGAGGTACAGGTTCTGCTCCCGAGAGATTCTAAATATAAAATAAGCAGTTCAAAGGAAATATAAAACATATCACTTCAGATAATAAGGGTTTGGTATGTATTAACAGGCCATATGAAATAGATTTAACATATTTACACATTAAAGACTAAAAAGTAGAAAATAAATTATAAATAAAAATCTTTTTTTTAAATGCCACGTTTTTAAACGCACTATAAAGTAAAAAATAATTTATAAATATGTGGAGGGAAATACTTAAAATATTTAAAACTAAAAACGTGGGGTGCATGCAATAGATAATAATAGTTCAATAGGTAAAGATAATTGTAAATCAGCATGTGCCCACGTTTTTTTTTTTTAATCTTACAAGTATTTATTCTCCCCACATATTTATAAATTATTTTTTACTTTATAGTGCGCTTAAAAACGTTGCATTTTTAAAAAGTATTTTCATTTATGATTTATAATAGTAGCGATTTAATATTACGTACATATCTGATATCTTCTTTAGGGGTAAAACACAGTTTTGTTTTCTTTGAAGACATTACGAGCAAAACAAGTCTACACACAACACGAATCGCTCAGCGACTGCGACTCTGACTGCCCTCAGAGCAGACCCGCTACAGTCGCTGTGTTCAGCCGCTAGCCGCTCCAGTCGCAGTCGCGTCAAGGACAATGGTCCCATTTGAAACAACGCTAACCAGTGCTCAGCTACTATCGCTGAGCTACTATCGCTCAGCTACTATCGCAAGAGTCGCTTCAGGGACAATGCACCTTAAGTACCTATTTTCTGAATCTTAGATGCGAGCCTAAGCCTAGCCGATGTGAGGTTTGTGGACTATCGTGAAACAGTTTACATAGACATAGACATAGACATAGACTTTATTTGCACAAAACATTCCATACATGTCATAACATTTAGAATAGGTGCATTGTCAAAATTAAATCCATACATAAAATATTTAAAATTAAAACTTTTAACTTAAAACTAAACACTTAAATAAAAAAATAAAAAAAATTCTAAATTGTAGTTCTGTAAAAATCTTCAATTAAGTAAAAAGCCTTGTCAATAAGAAAATTATCTATTGTATCTTTAAATTTGGTTTTGCTTAGTGACTTATAGCATGGCGGAAGCACATTGTACAATCTCAGCCCAGCGTACAATGGAGATTTTTCATATAGGGTCAAACGGTGTCTGGGGAGTCTAAATATATTTTCATTTCGGGTTTCATGCCTGTGATTAAAATGTATTGTTTCTGGTATTTAAACATCATGATCATTTTCTCCAGTTTTTGCTATAATAATATAAAATTGTTAGGTAGTGTTTAAACATAGTAACTATATATTCTGCCGTGCGGCTCCAGGATTAGAATAGACGGCAGTATCCCCTGCTAGAGGTGAATAAAATTATAAAGAGGCGACTAAAAGTTGGGGAGCACACTAATTTTCTTTGGTGCCTTCTCTCCATAACAGCATTTGGTATTTCGTGGCTGCAGTTCATCCTGTGACTACCATATATAGGCCTACAGTAGACTCCCTCTTATCCAGACACCTTTTGACTGGACTTCGTTTTAACCAGACTAGATTCGGTAGAAGTGACATCTCTTTATCCGGACAATTTTTATCAGCACATCGGTTTAACCGGACTAGATCGGCGGGAAGTGGGCGGTACTGAAACGACTGTTCTCGTGGAAAAGATTTGAGACCAGTGATCACGTGTCTAAAAACACTGTTCTCCTAAATTTAAGTCAAATACTGTATACAGTATGCATTTAAACGGTCCGTTTAAACAAGTTTTTTGGGGCGTCGGTTTAACCGGAAAAACCTCCTCGGGGCCGAGGCCAGTCCAGATAAGAGGGAGTCTACTGTACCCACCAAAACCATTGACTTTTTATTCTGGTGATAGGTGGTGTCTAGGGGGATTAACTTCAAGGAGGGGACGCTTTGAAGTTTCGTTGAAGCCAGCGTGGCCGCGTGCTGCCATCAGTGCCGTTTTATGTCTCCCTCCACTCATACTGCGTTCTACAGGTTTCAACACTCAAATCATGAGTAATGTGTCTATTTGAACAATTTTCTGTGAAGAGAAATAAAATAAGTCCTTTAAATGTCTAGGCCTATGATAAAAGCACTATGGCATCAGAAGATGCAATAACTGAAAGTTTAAATCAAATCAAATCAAATATGTCTTTATTCATAATATATACAATTTATGTACAATGAATGGTGTCAGGTCTTATTTCTGAGAAATAAAAATAAGTACCTAAATTAAAATTAATCTATTTACATGTGATGTATCAAAACCAAATCTCAAATCTCAAAACCATCAAAACTTAGGAAAAGTTTTGATTTGGAGACTAGATCACCAAGTTTCGAGATTCAAAAGTTTCAAAATTGAAGATTTTGGCAGTTTTATTTTTTAAACTGCTGACATTTTTTTGTGCCATTGTTATTGTTTTTAATGCTGTTTCCAAACAAGCTGGTAGAAACAGAGCAAACATCACCATTAACAGTAATGAAACAAGTAAATTTTATTCTGAACTTCAAAAGGTATCTTAAATACTATAACTGGTACAATTCAGTTTCACATCAATATTTTTACTAAACACAAAGATATATTGACCACTAAATGTTCTAATTAATCTAATATTCATGTTTATGTTGGTGTTAGAAGTTTAATTTTTGTTTGTTGGTTGTTTATGAAAAATTATGTTGTATTGGGTTTTAAGATTATCAGTCTGTAATGGGAATATAGTAATAGTAAACGTTATTAATTTGTCAAATATTCCCACAATACAAAGTAAATTATATTTGCCTCGGATAAACCCACAGAGGGGGTTCGACCCTTATAGTAACAATTTGCCTGGTGGTAAGGAGATACCTCAGGAGGTGAAAATATTACCCACATCTAGTAATTAATCGATATTTATTACATGAACTACAACTGCGGCAATACATACATAGAAATGTGTTTTAAACGATACTCAATCACAACGGTTTACAGTTTGTTGAAACGTGCTCCTTTCTCGTGCCAAATCTACACTACACACTTCACACCTCATGGGCGAATCGTAGCACTTTATTACATGTAATGCGATATCTCAAGATAACCGATACATAATGAATTGGTACATTTACAGGATGATTGATAAACTGGATTTTGTGAAGAGACAGATGCCCCTCCCGATATTCTATAAAATCATATTTACAAATTACGTCGTACAAGACAAATGCCCCTTACGACTTGATACGTGAATTAATTTGATGGCGGGTATAATTAATTTGGATATACTACCGACGCGCGAAACATGTGCCTCACACGGATTAACACGTAAAAAAGTACCCAAAAGACCTCTGCACTTCAGAGACAAAATACAGAGGAACATTAGCTCGACCTTACGACTGAACGCCTATTAAGCTGATTTTGTTAAGACAGATTATTCCCAAACGTACGGTAATATCACTATGCCAGACATATACCCCACACGGAATATTACGCGTAACGTAACACTTTATATAAACTCTTCGTAGCACTTTAAAATACAAAAATAAGATCACAATTCAAAAGGGGACTTTAAATTGGAGAATTACCGATAAAATAACACTCTCTGTATATGTGTCACCATGCGAGATAAGTACCCCACACGGGACACGACACATACACACGACTTAATAAATTACACACTTTGTGAGTTATTAGAATACCACTAATATAGAACCGCAAATCCAAAGGGAACTTCTAATTGAGGAGTACATGATAAAATAACACTCTAAAACAACAAAATGGTACACTCCGAAATAAACTTCTACTAACTTTCCACATTACAAAAAAACTCAACCAAAATGATTTATTACTTGAAATTAAGAGGGCCTTTTATAATCGAACCGACGAGACATATGCCTCCGCTCGATTATATGGTGTAAAATTTAGAGCCTCGAGGTGAGAGACATTTGTCTCTAACCGAGAGTGAGAACGTTCTATACTTTAAGAACTCGATACTGAAAAATTAAAATCGAGACAAACTTTGAAAATATGAGATTGTTAAAGAAATAACATTTTTTGACTTTTGAAGAGATACTTACCCATTTGGAAATATGCCCCGATCGGTAATCAGCGACACTGCCCTCACTTACACATCTTCGAAAAATCATTACTCGATAGCTTGACGGTATGGCACTGAATGTCTTGGTCACCTCTTAGAGAAGTCCGTGTCCCTCCGACTCGTGGTGGGGGGAGAGGGAGGGTAGTGATATGACGGTGGCGCTTGTTGGACTCCACGACAGATCTGCGATTTACTTATATCGCGGGAAATTTGAAATTCACTGTCACAAGTCACATTCATATATTTATGTTATGTCACGGTCAGGAGTCGATCTTTTTCAGTTTTGATTGCATACTTAACATTTTATGATTATGTGTATTTTTTTGTAACCTTGACCTAAGTAAAAAAGTTTCGCGTTTAGGTTTTGAGATTCGAGATTCGGGATTCGATTTTTTAAAGTTTCGGTTTCGGTTTTGAGATTCGAAATTTTTGGTTTTGACCATCACTACTATTTACAAGTATAATACAGTAGACCCTACACCTTTTTACCAACAACGCCATTTAACTTGTTTTATTTAAAAACTCATTAATAGAATAACAAGTGTTCTCAATCATGAAAGCCTTACATTTTTTATTGAATTTCTTAATGTTAGTCTCACTTTTCAAACTTTCGGGCAATCTATTAAAGAATTTGGCACCCTTATATGTGGTCTCTTTTTTTTATTCTAATCTATGTGTTTCTAATTTCAAATTATTTTTGTGCCTAGTGTTATAAGTATGATTATGGCCAAGAAAATTAGTGTTACTCATGTTTTGTTTCACATACATAACACATTCATATACATATAAATTAAATACTGACAAAATTCCTAGTTCACTAAACCTATCCTTTACTTGAGCCTTGTACTTCAAACCTAGCATGATTCTTATACATTTCTTTTTGAGTTTCAATATATTTTTTAAGTTTTTGTGAGTTGTTGCGCCGTATACACAAATGTTATATGCCAAATGTGAGTGAATCAAGCTAAAATATATTACTTTTAAAGTGGCTAAATCACAAAATTTAGATAATCTTCTAAGGACATAAATTCCTGAATTCATTTTTCCTTTAACTTTGTTAATATGTTTATTCCAGTTTAAATTGCAATCCACAATTAAACCCAAAAATTTTGCATCCGTTACTTCTGAAATAATGTTGTCATTTAATTTTATTTCTGTTGAAAAACCATTTTGGTTCTTATTTGTATTACAATTTATAAAGTTTATTTTATTTAAATTTATCTGTAAGTTTAGATTTGTCAAAAATGAAACTATGTTATTTAACTCTTCTTCTGCAGATCTTTTAATATGTTCATCAGTTGGACCTGAAACTTTCAAATTTGAATCATCAGCATACAAAACTACTTTTTTGGCATTCTAATCCACAAATATATCATTAATTCCATTTAATTGAATAATGGGCCTAATACTGACCCCTGTGGGACTCCAAATTTTATGCACTGTGTTTTTTGTATTTTTGTTTGTTTTCCACTAGTTGTAGAAGCTATTTCAACAAACTGTTGCCTATCGGATGGATATGATCTGAACCGATCAAGTGCTTTGCCTTTAATTCCAAACTGTGTCAACATTTTAATCATGGTACCATGACAGACTCTATCAAATGCCTTTTGTAGGTCCATGAATAGTCCAATACATTTTTCACCCCTATCAATGGCATCAATAATGGACTCAATAAATTGAACAGTTGCTGTTTTGGTCGACTTTCTAGCCCTAACTCCATGTTGGTTGCCATTAATTAAACGGTTACTTTCGAGAAAGTACACAAATTTTACAATTTTTACTCTAAATTTATTTGATATTTCTTAACATACCAATGAAATATGACTCGTATGATTAAAAAAATCAAGAACTTATCGGCCAAGAAAATGTTTGACTTTTTATGAACTGCAACGTCTGTGGGTGTATTAAAAGTAAGTGCGACTTTAGATCTTTTCTTAACTTTGGTTATTCAAAATCACCTGTGTTGCACATAAATGGCTATGATAAAGTATACTAAATTTAAAATTGTATTTCACCATCCAAATTAAAACTTGTATTTTAACCTAAATTTTGTAAGCTTGTTTGTAAACTGTAAAACTAAAAATAAATAGTTATTTAAAAATAAAAAATCTATTTGGATAAGTATATATATTTTTATTTTGAGAAACTATAGATTGTTAATTTTTATGGACTTATCATATTGTTTTCAATGTAATTAAAGCTATCATATGTTCAAATTCCAGGGAAATCCATCTAACTTTGATCTTCAATAGTAATCAATAAATATTAGTTTTCCCAGAAAAGATTTAGGCCAACACCATTCGATAGAAAATCTAATTTACTTTAAGTATACCATCGATGAATAACAAAGGTGTTTTAGTTAAGCGGCAGTTTAATTCAAGTCAGCACATGTTGTGTTTTTCCCTTATCTCTCTCCTATGTTGTAGTGGCGGCTTTTTGCCACTCTTCGGCTCCGTGTGTCCCTCTAGTGTTCTGCTAATGCTGGCTTCACCACAACATGTATCCTATATTCCTATTCGCGTGCCCTCTCCTTAATGTTAATCCTCCTAGGTTGGTGGCTAGTCACGCTTAAGTACGGTATTTATTACTGTAGTACCAGAAAGTGATCTTGCTCGAAAAGCTGTTATTAGTCAGTGGTTGTATGAAAATAAATACTGTAGGATAATCCAGAGCTCTGATCATCTAATTACGGTACACAAACCTATCCACCTTTGGAGTATCCCAGTAACCAGTAACCAGTATCCAGTTGGAGTGTGGGGTGCTGGTGGACTCGAGCGAGTCTGTTGATTGTTTTGGTGCAGTAATTTCCCGCATTGCATTATTTTACCTATTTATCGGGCAGGTCCTCTGCATCACAACTGTTCACTGCAGGATGTCCAACGTCCTGGTAAACCGACAATTCGCCCATGTTTGTTTTTTTTTAACCGGGATAAACCATGAATTATATGTGAATTTGGTCTTTTTATCGGAAGTTTTCAATTTTACCACGATCATGCATGATGACGATGACTTTCCGTGACCGTGGGAGATGATGATGGTGTCCACACGGCCGCGGGATGTAAGAAGGTAATATAGACTAAAGGTACACTGTAAGAAGGTAAATATATAACTTAGGCCTACTCAAAATTACAAGAGGTGAACAACTTCGATTTGACACTACAATTAGGACTAATATGCAAACCTCTATAATTAGTCAAATCATTGATTGTTAATCAGCTAACTTTTGTTACAGGAGGTGATAGAATTTCCCTGTATTTGGGTGGACTCAAATTTGAATGTTGTTTCAACGTTTCACAAATATGTGAAACCTGTATACAACCCAGTTTTAACACCTTTTTGCACTCAACTAACTGGAATTGTACAAGTAAGTTTTATGCAACCCTGTGTTAACTAATGATGTTTAAGATATATGCGAAGAGAAAACAGTCAGTCACATACTGTAAGACTATAGTAGTACAGAGATAATATAGTAGTAGACCTATTGTTTATCTGAGCTCAGTCGGTCGTGGGACAAACTGTAAAAATTGAGCGCGATGTCGTGTGTTTTGCCACCACTTAAAATTTTTTGTGTACAATATATTCTTGTACTACACCAGCTCACCCCTTGTTTTGCATGATTCCACATACAGGACTATGGACAGTTAAAAACAATATTAAAAAGCCACCAACCTCTTGAAAAAAAATATTTTAATCTGTAGTCTGGTGTAGGCTATAATTTCTACTAGGCGGTCATCTTTATGTCTTCTTGATGTTGGCAAATTGTCAATGTTTTAAAAAGACAACTTTATCCCTTGAATCATTGTAGACTGAAAAATAGACATACCCTAATTTGATTCACATTTAGAAATTGGAAAGACGGCGGCTGTTAAGCTTTGCGTACCATCCTAGTAACCCTTAGATCTTAGTACATTTAGCTGGGACATTGCAACTAGATCAAACTGAAAGGAAAACCAACTTGCCAAAAGCAGAAAATAAAACACTTGGTGTAATGTGGAAAACTGTAAACTAATAGTGTTTTGCTATTGGTTAAAAATTAGGTAAGTTACCTATCTTGATAAAATTTTATCAATTTTTTTCTGAGATTTTGAATCAACTGTCAGTCATTTTATAAATAATTGAAATTATGCATGGTAATTCTCAGTGGAACGTGTAGGACACTCAAAGAACCGTGTTGACTACTGATTGAACTTTTATTTATGTTAGGCCAATTAAAAAATATATTTTCATAACATGTTGGTGCAGACAAACCTTATATGGCTTTTTTACCTATTGTATAACACACATGTCCCCATTTTTTGTTGAATAAATAAATAGATAGGTTTTGAAATATTCAATATAGGCCCTACCTGTTAGGCAAATTTAAGATCGAAGCTTTTAATCTAACTAGTTATCTGAAATATTTATTAATAGCTAATGTAACATTATTTTTGTCATTAATTAGTTAACGTACTGATTTGTTTTAGAAGAAATATTCAGAAGCTTTCCTTGTGTATCAGTATAATTCAATTCTACGCAGTGATAGGGTATTTTGTAGTGTTGGGTAACAAGTGGATTTAGAAACCTCTCGCTACCAGAGGTTGATGTTGAGATTGGCTGGTCATGTGGTTTTCACTGCAGAGGGGATGTCCTGGAGTGTTACAATACACACATGTAGCTGGCTGTTCACTCTGTACTTAGGCTCTTGTTGATGTGGTAAAAAAGTGCCTAGATTAATTATTCAAATAAATGTTAATTCTGTGTGTTATTTATATTAACATTTCAAGGAGAAAGTAATTCAAATGAACTGTTGCAGGAAATGGTTGAAAAAGAAGAAACATTTGATCAAGTGCTGAGTAGGTTTCTAACTTGGATTAAGAATACCGAGGCTACTATTGGGAATCAACAAACCAAAACCTTTATAACCTGTGGCGACTGGGATCTGAAAGTTATGCTGCCTAATCAATGTAAACTTTCTAAATTGCCTGTCCCACCAATCATGACACATTGGCTTAATCTAAAAAAGGTAAGCTGTAAACGTAATCACTGAGCTATAGCTTGTTTGAGCATCTAAAAGATATATCCACAATAAGTTGCACATGGCAGTTTCAATAGTTCTATGTATTTGCTTAATTTCAAAGGCAAAACCATACACAGTAAATCACTTTGTAACCGCACACCAACAAACTGAAACCTTATGATAAAAAATCTAAATCAATTAGAGAACTAGCTAGTTAATGGGAATCGTTCGTCACGGTCTGGGTAGTTGGTCCGACTTGGCTAAGAGATTGTAATTCTGGAGCAGACGACAACACAGATCTCATATCTTGATGAAATTATAGTACCTACAGGACACAGCTGTTGATTGATTGAAGAAATTGATTTTTAGTATATAGTTGCAGATTTTCAATAACGTGAATAATTACGGTTGTCTTTTAACCAGAATAGCCTTTGAATTCCAACCATAGACTTCTAAGTTTTTCTTGAAGGGATCTATGAGCTTAAATAGAATAGTAAATTTGGAGAGTTTTCATTACAGTTAGAATTTTGACTATCTAAAAACAATTTCAACGTTGTAAAAAGTTTAAAATAGTTCCTAAACGTTAAAAACTTAAACATTTTTCTAATAATCACATAAAAAACTCCTATATCACTAACTAAAAAATCCTTTTGTTATTTAAGTTTAGGCCTAAAGAGAGTTTTAAGTCAATGTGTTTATGTCATCTGGGACAAACACTATTCTTAATTTTTATTAATGATATAGACGGTAATATATCAGGCGAACTCTTCTTGTTTGCAGATGACACAAATGTTATATTAAAAGTCTCAAAAATACATCAATTGGAAATCGATGTTCAGAAATCAATAAGAGAACTAGAGAAAATGTTCCCTCAAAATGGACTATATCAGTAATCCGGCAGATATAGGACCTTTATACTGCCAGATTAGTGAAAATGCCTTATTATTGGAATGTTATGAATAACACTTAAAATGCACTTAAAACACGTCTCCGATTGCGCTATTGCCGCGATCGAGCATGACGACGATGTCGTTTCTAAACGTCTGCGGGAGATGTTCATGACTTTGCCACGAACGCGCAAGACAACGGTGACGTTTCCGTGATTGCAGGAGTGAATAAGGATGTTTGCACGGCTGCGAGAGAAGATAAATTTTTGCCGCGACCTTGGAAGACAACTGTAATGTCCATGACCGTGGGAGATGTTCATGATTTTGTCGTGATTGCGCATGACGACGATGATGTTTCCGTGACCACAGGAGATGTTTATGTCTTTGCCACAATCGCGCAAGACAACGATAACGTTTCCATTACCGCGTTAGATGTTAATGACTTTGCTGCGATTGGGCAAGACGACGATGACGTTTCCGTGACCGGGGGAGCGAATAAGGATGTTAACACGGCCGCGGGAGATGATAAGATTTTTGCCGTGACCCTGGAAGACAACGATAATGTCTACATGACCGCGGGAGATGTTCATGATTTGCCGCTATCGTGACTGCGGGATTGGATGATGTCTACACGGCCACGGGAGATAATCAAAATTTTGGCGAGATTGCAGAAGACCTTAGCCGTCAAAAGATGCCAGATTACTGGAGTGCTGGGGTGCCAAATTAGAGAGGATCTACTGTATTGTTAAACAATTCAAATACACAAATTATGCAATTCAAGGGGGATAACTGTTCAAATTCATTAAATAGCAGCCTATTATTCCTGGCAGATTCCCACAAAGTATTAGGAATACAAATTGATTCAAAATTAATTTGAGGAGATCATAGGCCAATTCAATATCTAACACAAAAATTATTTTCTTTTCGCTATGCAATAAGTGTTACAATTGAGGCAACATCTCGGGAAGTATGTAAATTATTATATTATTGTTTCTATATTGATTCTATAATAAGGTATAGTATACGACTTCGAGATTCCTTACCAAGTTACAATAGGGGGAAGAGACAACTGGCAACAGTGTAACTTCAGCATTGACAGAGCATGCTTGGTCTATTACACCGATGGAAGTCGGAAGGATGAGAGATCAGGGCTGGGAGTGTATGGTAACAAAACCAAAATATCTCTGGCCTTGGGCAGAACAACAACAGTTTTTCAATCAGAGGTCCTGGCGATTGAGTGCTGTGCTAATAATATTATTAGCAAGAATCTAAGAAAGGGTAAAATCCTTATTCTCTCTGACAGCCAGGCAGCATTGAAGGCGCTGGGGTCATGTGTGACACAGTCACGAACAGTAAAAGGGTGTAAAAACACCCTCAAAAAGTTAGCAGAGCGAAAGCAAGTCAAATTGTCTTGGGTTCCTGGACATTCGGGGCATGAGGGGAACGAAAAAGCCGATGAATTGGCCAGGAAGGGTGCGGAAGACCAACTGTCAGGACCAGAACCCTACTGTGGTACCCCCATAAGCTCAGGAGTAGCCAAAGTCCAAGACTGGGTCAAGGTTCAAAAGGCTCTGGCCTGGATGAACCACCCAGGTATGAGGACGTCCAAATTACTAATTGACCCCACTGATAAAGGTTGGAAAGACTTGTTGAGCCTTAAGAAAGGGGACATTAGTCTGCTAGTAGGAGTGTTAACAGGGCACGATCCTATCAGGAAACATCTCAGGACCATAGAGAGGTCACAGACAGACCTGTGCAGGTTCTGTGAGAACGAGGTAGAAACCTCGGAACACTTATGGCTGGACTGTCCAGCGTTGGCCCATAGAAGGCTTACATCTCTGGGGAGGTTATTCCTGGAACCAACAGAGATAAGGAAGCTGGGTGTCTTTCAGCTCCTGGGCTACTTGAGGAGCCTAGGGCTGTCAGAATGAATTAAAGGGTGCTACAAAAGGTCTCCAGGCCGAAGTAGCTAGGGGTATGCCATTACCCCAGCCCCCACAAAAAAAAAAAAGGTATAGTATAGTAATCTGGGGGTCCAGTTCCAAAACAAAAAAACTTCTTAACGCAGAAAAAATCAATTGTACAAATCATGATTAAAGTGTCTATGAAAAAAAGCTGTAGGCCTCTTTTTAAAAGATTAAGGATCTTAACCATCGCAAGTATGTACATTTTTTAAATGGTTTAAGCTATTGGCCTTTTATCACGGAACTGTTCCATGATGGCTCTATTGGGCTCAAAATTTGTATCACAGAACATTTTCGCTATGAGTACAATGCCACTTAAATTGGTAATTTTTAGTTAATTTTTTTAAATAATAATAACTAAGGTTAATTGTTTGAAAATACAATTAATTATGTCTTTTTGGCTTAGGGTAAAAAAATTAAATTAATAGGCTAATTTTATAATTTTTGGTATTTTACCAAAACATAATATGTTAAATTTTTAATTCTTTTGTATTTTTGCATAGGGAATTGTATTCTTAACACATGTTAGGTGCAAAAGAGTATACATACTGGCTTTTTGGGGAAATAAAATTATCATACTTTCAAAAAATATAAATGTATTTTTAATGTTATCTTTTTAGGCTAAAATATTTTTTTTTACTCTTTATTATATTTAAATATAATAATTATTGAAGGCAATAACATTTTGAGTAAATAAACATAACTTGCTATCTTGTATCTTCAAAAAGAAACGTTTTATAAATTTATAAAGACAAACCCTGCATATTGGCTAATTTTAATAGGCTAACTCAGTGACTGCAGGACACCTAAATATTCAGTCTAGGCCATTGGGTTAGTTAACAATATAGACAGTTTCGAAGAGTTCAAATTTACACATAATAACTCCACTTGTCTGAAACATTTATATCAATTCCCAGTACATCACTCTTTTTGAACATACACCAAAATACATTACAATTTTTAATAAACTACCGAAAAGAATCACCAACAATCCAGAAAACATACCCATAAAACAATTACACGAGTTATTAATTGAAAAGGCATATTATAAAATAGAAGATTTCTATTCTGATGTTTTCTAAACGGACAAGGCTTAGTTTAATTTTACAAACTAAATTCACGTTGAATACATACCTGATGCCTTTAATAAATTTTAGCAGGATTTTGATCTCATTTGTTTTTTTTTAATTGTAACTTTTACTTGATATCAGTAGTAATAATTTTGAGTTGTGTGAATATATTAGTCAGGCATATAGTTTTTATTTTTATTTATTTTTTTACTTTTTATTATGACGACACTCCTATCCTTGTACGTTGTACTTTTTAAGATGTTTATGAGTGAATAAAGAATTTGAATTTGAATGTACTTTTTCAGGTATTTTATGAATACACTAATTACTATCCCAAGTCTCTGAAAGATATGTGTCACCATCTTGACTATAAGTTTACTGGAAGAGAACACAGTGGCATAGGTGAGTATCTTGGGTTTTCTCGACACTTTTACCAACAATTTAAAACAGTATAAACAATATTACCTTACCTACCCTCTGGCGCTACAGCCTACGATGAGCCTTGGCCTCCATCACAATTTGTCTCCAATCTTCTCTATTTCTTTCTCTCTGTCTACAATTCCCAATTCTCAGAATTCTCAAATCCTCCTCAACATCCTGCAGCCATCTTCTCCTTGGACTTTCTTGTTCCGTACATTTGACCATCTACAGTACGGTCCACAAGAGTCTGCAGTTGAGGGAGGAGCCTATTTACTACGTGACTTGTCTGAGAGGGCAAGCTTATAGCTGCTCGGGACCTGTTTCGGGCCAACCTGTATTGTTCTCTGCCCCGAGAAGGATATATGTGTATGTCCTGGCCTTGAGTTAAGAAAATGTGGCAGCTTCCAAGATATACAGAGAGGCAAAGTAAACAGGCCCAGCTCTCTGAAGATGGCCCTACATGACTCTCTCACCTATAGTTTAGCCACTCTTCGGGGGCTCTCTTTTAAAGATGGATCAACCTTTGGAAGTCCATTCATACATCCAAAAACTCTACTCCATTTATGTCCGCAAACTGGCAAAGGACTTAATAGTTGTTGCAGCCTATGTCTAAAGAAACCTAACCTAAGGATACGATTTAAGTTATACTTGCGAGAGCGCAAATTTTCCCTTATATAATTTTCAGCCACCATTACAAGACCAAACGCCACATAGAGATAGTGACCATCAAGAACCGTAGTGGATTAAGTAAAGGACATAAATTGAACCAGCTCACTTGACTGTGATAGGAGATCAATGGTGACCTTAATTTACAGACAATCCCTGTAAATCAACAAACTTTGGTCCATTTATCTAAGCTCAATAACTGGCGTATATTCATGTACCAAAGGATATAATAATTGTTTCTTTTTCTTTATAGAGTACTTAGTGTTTTTGCAATCAAAGTTTTACTAATCTGTTTTGCTTGATTTGAAATCTACCATTTGTTTGATTGTAATGAAATAAAACTATGTTTCAGATGATTGCCGAAATATTTTGGAGATTTTGAGGATTTTAAAGGCTAGACATTCGATTCTTTTGAGAAGCTAATGCAATTGACACTCTCACCATATTATATTGTACATTTTTTACTTTCCCCCCCTATACCATAGTATATGGAGAAAGTATTGTTATCGTCAACATTTTCGAGTTTGTATTTTGAGTGGATATATTCGTTTTGGGTCCCCCTGGACCCAAAAAAGTGGTTTTCGAAGTGATGTCTGTGTGTGTGTGTGTCTGGATGTGTACAGAGCTAGGGACTACACCCGTGGTCCAATTTCGATTAAATTTGGTATGTAGGTTCTAATGCATGGTATCTCCAGGCGTTTTTTCATTTTTTTGAAATTTTGATTTTTAACGGGGATTTTCCCATAAAAACCCTTAAAAAACCGGAAAAATAGGATTTTCTCAAAAATGGCCCGAACGGTTTTGATAAAAATTTAGTATGTTGTAGCCCTTTACATTCTGAACAAAATGGTACAAATCCCATTTCTGTAAATATTACGGTTCAAAAGTTATTGTAAATTGTGTTATTTTCCCATAAAACAACGAAAAATAGGATTTTTGAACAAAATCCGGTTTTGATTTAACGTAGTATGTTATGGTCCTTACAATTTTGATAGCTTTTTTCATTTTTTAGAAATTTTTATTTTTAATGGGGATTTTCCCATAAAACCCCATAAAATAACGGAAAAATAGGATTTTCCGAAAAATTGGCCCAAACAATTTTGATAAAAATGTTATATGTTATAGTCCTTTAAATTCTGAACAAAATTTTACAAATCCCATTTCCATATATTTACTCTCACCGCTTACACATAGATAAAGGTTGTTGACAAACTTATGGGAGAAAGTATGCGTCAGAATGCTGATACAGTTTATTATAGTAGTAATTTTCTGTATGTTCTATATGTGTTTTTTATATATTCTATGTGTGTGTTCTATATATTCTATATGTTCTATATATTCTATGAGTGTGTTCTATGTGTATATACTTTTTGTAAGTAAACCGATCAGATTCAACCATCTCAGTTCAGATTTTACAATTGAAAAGTTTCTAGCCTATTTCTTTATTTAGTAGGGCTCTGATAAGCGGGACTTTAGTGTATGTATAAAAAAACTAAGCTATTAATTTTAGTTTAAGTATAAATTTAGCATACCTGCCAATGTATATTGTTAAAAGTATTAACTGGCTAAATAAATTTGGATTTTCATTGATAAAAGAAAAATTTAGATTATTTTTCTATTCCTTTCAACCTTAAAACATAAAAAAAATATTTTTCCTACAGTTACCTAACAATGTACATGTTCTCTCACTGATTTGAGAAAGCAAAGTGGCCAATTCGCTCATCAGTGAGACAATGTTAACATTGTCTCACTCTAATTACTTTGTCTCACTCCATATTTGCAACGTGAAGGCACGAAATAGTGAGCGCGTAACATGCAGGCAACGTCGTATGCGCGCGAAATACGTTTGCAGCACTGGCTATAAATCAGCTGGTCAGCTGTTGTACTGTTGTATTTGTCACTTTACGTTAAATGTTATATTAAAAGTTCACTTCTGTGTAAAAATAGGTTATGTTTCTTCACAAATTTATTTGTTTTATGGTAACTGTAGGAAAAGTATAATGTGCAACTCGATTTCAAAGTACAATTGCCTCACTCGAGAAACCATTCCTCACTCGCCTACGGCTCGTGAGTAAGGATTTCTCTCGAGTGAGTCAATTGCTCACTTTTCTCACTAGTTGCACAAATAACTATTGTTTAGGATTATAGTTAGAGAAGTCAATTCACACATGTACATCACAGTTCAGTCATGTCACAGTCAACCAAAATATTCTTTAATGGATTTCCTATTCAGTTATCTACTCTCATTGGGCGTGTACTCTCAGTCGCTCTGTCGGCGTCCGTCTGTCAATTTCAAATTTCTTTCTACCAATATTTTTGGATCCTTCGGACACCTAATGGACGTGTTTGAGGTAAAAAAAGTGTTTTTGTTATTTAAATGATTGTGTTTATATTTTGAATACTGTTTGTAACAATAAATAAATAAATAAAAATGTCTTATTAAGCGTTTCTCTGGTACACCAGCTTTTCAGAACAACTTTCGTCACTATGCTAAATATCTTATTCTACTGTTTGGCCATTATAAACTTACACAATAATTACAAATTTTTTAAAAACATCTTTAAGTTTTTCTTTAAAAGGTTTCTACATGCAACAACCTTCAGGCCGTCGGGTAGACCATTGTACAACGAGGGACCAAAATATGAGAAGCTCTTCCTCCCAAGCTCTTCACCCACCATGACATGTCCTGCGCTGGGAAACCTTGTCGCGAAGAGAAAGCCTCTCGTAAATAGTCGGGCTGACAAAGAGAATCGCTCTGTGGGTCATGCAACACGTCAACAACCTGCACATGGCTTCAACGGGAAGCAGACTAGCTACTTCTCGTAAGGGAGAGACATGATCAAATTTTTTCAAACAGAAAATGAAACAGATTGTGGAGTTTTGCAGACGTTGCAACCGATACATGTCTTCCCGGGAAATGCTGTTGCCATATGCAGGGAAGCAGTAGTAAAATATTGACAGTATTAGTGACTGCACGAGCTGAAGTTTTGCAGCCTCAGGCCACAAGCCTCTGAACCTATACAAACCTCTTAGTCTCCCTAATAACCCAGTAACCTTGTTATAAAAATCAGGGTCTACCTTGCATGAAATGGGGTAGTAGGTTTCTTTTTTTTATGTTGTTTGTAATAGTACCAAGTTGCTAAATCCAAATTTTCGACCTCGGCGACCTTCCGGATCACCTCCAAAAAGCTTAAAAATCGGCAGAATTACGCACTATTTTTACGTTTGTCCGATTTTGACCCTTAAGCATCACTTTTTCATAAAGAACAACCATAATCATTTTTAAAGTATATTAAATTACCTATCATATAAGACCAAAATGGTTATTACAGGCCTAATAGTTTTCAAGATATGACTCCGCAAACAACGGCTAAAGTTACCAAATTTTGAATTTTTTTTAAGTTTGGCTAACGTTAACCCTTAAGCATAACTTTATCGTTATTTTTCATTAAAACAACCATAATTACTTTGAAACTGCATTAAATTACTCACAATTTAAGACCAAAATGGTGATTATAGGCCTAACACATTGAGAGATATGCCTCTTCAAGGTTTATAAAATCTTCCATAAATGTTTGTATTTTAAGATTCAACTTTCAATTTATTCAATTTGGTCAAGTTTTATAAATGAACCATAACAATAAATAAGCAAATTTATTTCATTTCAAGTACAGATTGTGTTATAACAATTTATTTTTAAATTAATTTAAAATAGTAATTTAAAATTAATTTATTATAAATTGAAATAAATCTATTGTATCTATCTACATAAACACACACGTACATTGTTACAATAATTGGTTCTCGGACAGGCCTGTGACGAACGGTATTCATTTTTACGTATTTTTGATTTTAAATTAAACTGTTTACAACATAGAAATACCTAATAATGGCTTAAATACTATGATTTTGAATACAGATATGGCTTCTGTAATAGCATAAAGAAAGTATAAAAGGATTACAATCATATTTTTTCCAAATAAACCCCATTTAAGGGGTCAAAAACATTACGTAAATTAATTAATTTGGCCTAACACATTTTGTGTCTTAAACTTTGAAATGCTTAAAATTGCTTAAATATTATAATTTTTAATACAATTATGGTTTTTTTTAATTGCATAAAAAGTGTATAAAATGAATACAACTAAAAGGTATACAAATAAAGCTCATTTAATAGGTGAAAAACATTACGTAACAGATTTTGCGTAACAGATTTTCTGATTTCAACTTTAAAATGGTAAAAAAAGCTTAAATTTAATAATTTTGAATAGGATAATGGTATTATAAATTACACAAAGAGTATATAAATGGAATACAATTCTAACTTAAACAAAAAATCATATTTAATGAGTGCAAAACATCACGTAAACAAAATACTCAAATTATTTTTGCTAACATTTTACTTTATTTGTTTATTTTCTTTCAGTTCATATATTTTTAACGCTTGAAAATGCTTTATTACTGAAGGACTATATACTTAATGGTATAGAACCAATTTAGACTATAAAAAGTCAATAGTTTGCTTCATAATTAAAAAACAAAGTCAGATTTACAAGAATTTAAGCGAGTTTTGTTGTACAAACCATACATTATTTGTTAATATTTTTCAAATTATTCACGATTGACTTTTTAAAACCTCATATATCAAAAGAGTACTAGTTGGAGCAAGGTAAGAAACTAAAAAATACCAATAAAAACCTATGGTTTACGCAAGAATTAAGTTTTAACATAGGAAAGAGCTAAAGACCACCCACAGTGCCAAGGGGACTATGGACACCTGTGGTCACTATTACCACAGAAAACGTACTACTATAACCCAGAATGCCAACCGCATGGTAAAAAGCATTAAGTGTTTTGAGAGAGCTTTGCCTGTCAATCGGTAGGCAGCGCCACCAGCGTTGCTATGCTATTGCTATTGTTGGCTGCCTACGGATTGACAGGCAAAGCTCTCTCAAACCGCTTAATGCTTTTTACCATGCAGTTGGCATTCTGGGTTATAGTAGTACGTTTTCTGTGCTATTACCTACAAACAACCATGATATGACTCATGATGACATATAGTTTTTTTTTTGGTCAGATATTGTAGATATTTGAATCATATACATCCTGCAGTTAATCCCATACTGATGGGTTGAAGCGTTAAATCATATTATTGGTCTTAATTTCAATTAAATTCTCGAAATTTGTTACAATTTGTCCTCTTGATTTAATGCTTAAAGGTAAAGCATACCTAAAGGTTGTTTAATCTTATTCCTTATCAAGAAATTGTGAAAATTCATAGGCATGCAGGCAGGCAGATCCAGTGTGAGAGTTCCTTATCAGGTTCATGTAAGGATACCTATACCCATGTCCTTCTAGTGTCAGTGCTGTAGTTTGAACAAGTTGGTCCTTCCCCCCACTACTGCTCAATTCATACAGCACAGACAGGACAGGAGGTCCTGAGGAATGCCAGTAAATCCTGGCATAAAAGAAGTAATATATTGCATGGCAGAACGACAGCAAAGTTGAAACCTTTTTTCACTGTTGCATCTTCATTCTTTATATCAATTCCTCTTGATAGTACTGTATAAACATTTTAATTACAATAGATTTCTTCCATAAAAAAACGCATAATATGTTGTTGAAATGAAATAAATTTGTTTATATTCTTATTATGGTTCTTTTATAAAATTTGATCAAATTGAACAACTTGAATCTTAAAATACAAACATTTATGGAAGATTTTATGAACCTTGAAGAGGCATATCTCTCAATGTGTTAGGCCTATAATTACCGTTTTGGTCTTAAATTGTGAGTAATTTAATGCAGTTTCAAAGTAATTATGGTTGTTTTAATGAAAAATAACGATAAAGTTATGCTTAAGGGTTAACGTTAGCCAAACTTAAAAAAAATTCAAAATTTGGTAATTTTAGCCGTTGTTTGCGGAGTCATATCTTGAAAACTATTAAGCCTGTGATAACCATTTTGGTCTTATATGATAGGTAATTTAATATACTTTAAAAATGATTATTGTTGTTCTTGATGAAAAAGTGATGCTTCAGGGTCAAAATCGGACAAACGTAAAAATAGTGCGTAATTCTGCCGATTTTTAAGCTTTTTGAAAGTGATCCGGATGGTCGCCGAGGTCGAAAATTTGGATTTAGCAACTCGGTACTATTACAAACAACATAAAAAAAAGAAACCTACTACCCCATTTCATGCAAGGTAAAATGCGTTAGGTTACTGGATTATAAGGCTCGCTGGGATTTCAGACATGATCTGAGAAATTCAGGCATCTGTCAATCACAACGCCAAGAGTCTTTGCCTTCTCACACACTACCAGACTCCGGCCGTCGAGACAGACAGACACTCCATCATCTCTCAAGGTCTGGACTTGGTCCAGAGGCGCTGTATGCAAGACAGTGCACTTATCAGGGTTCAGTTTGAGCCCATTGACAAATGACCACTTGGCGATGCTCTCCGGGTCAGCGTTGAGTTTGTCAATTGCTTCTTTCATGAAAACAGGCTCAAAAGAAAAGTGCAACTGAGAATCGTCTGCACTTTCTTTTCAAAGAGCAGAA